AAAATTTCCAATTCATCATGTAATTAAGTATGTAAATATCTAGTGTTTAGTAGTTTAGTAGTAGTGCTAGTTGTTTTTGTTTCTCTTTTTCCTTTGTTCTTATGACTTTTTAACTTTTTTTCTTTGTCCTGAGGAAGGGACAGGGCGTCCCGAAAATTTGACAATTTTTATTGTTCGTGTCGTTGGTCATTTTTAGTGCTTTATATATATATATATATATATATATATATATATATATATATATATATATATATATATATATATATATATATATATATATATATATATATATATATATATATATATATATATATATATATATATATAAAATTTAACAATACAGAGGAAACAGCTGGTGCTAAAAAATGTCAACATCCAAGATGTGGAACCTGTCCCTTTTTACAGGAAACCGAACAATTTATTTTTAAAAATGGAAGAAAATTCGTTATCCATTCTTCTATTACCTGCGAGAGTTCAAATCTAATATATGTCATGACATGTTCAGGATGCGGCGAGAATTATATTGGCCAAACCGGGGACACCCTTAGACACCGTATGACAGTCCATCGTCAACAGATTCGCCAAACTGAATACCAGTGCACTGCCGTGAGCGGACATATCAGAACATGTGCTGAAAACATTTTTCCGAATTTTACAGTGCTTCCTATATACAAGTTCTATAACAAGACTTCCGGAAAGGAACGTGAAACCAAGGAAAAACATTTTATTTCATTGTTTAAACCAAAGCTAAACGCCCTGTCATAATAGACAATTTTCCCGCATTATTTGTCTAACTGTTAACGTCGTATCATAATGACGTCATAATGAACTATACTAAAGCGCAACAGTTTTGACGTTACATGACGTCACAATATACTTTGAATTGTTTGTATCTATAGCAATATGTCAAAACTCCTGATGATACAATTGAAACCGGTAGAGTTTTAATCGGCGTTCTGTTATTTTTTAATATTTATTAAATAAATACTTGTGTGGATTTTTTTATCAAACTTCTGCATTATATATATATATATATATATATATATATATATATATATATATATATATATATATATATATATATATATATATATATATATATATATATATATATATATATATATATATATATATATATATATATATATAGTTAATCCTAATTTTTATACATTTCATACACGTATTTAAACTTAATTATAGTCGTTTGTACCTTTCGCATAATATACATGTTTAAGCTGTTTTGTTCTTGTCATAATTGTTATTAAAGCCATCTGTCAAAATATTAAATTTGGAGAATGTTCTTTTACAAAAAATTATGGAAAATCGAAAATCACAAGGAGCTGGGGTGCTGAGCCAGAGAGGGGAGATGGGGTATCATGCTGTCGTACATGAATGAGTGAATATAAATAAACGCTATCAAATAATTAGACTCGAATTAATTGAATAAAACATTAGAATGTATGGGATTCATTCAATCTCTTCCATCTTTCTGTCTTTCAATCGCTTTTATCTTTTCTCTCAATCGATCAGTGTCAAACGATAAGAATATTCACCGACTGATAAAACATGCCGAAAAAATCTCTCAAATATGCGATGAAATTTATTCTAAGAAAAAAGAAAGAAAGAAAGACCAACCTGTTTGAACATCGTATAATAATACAAGGTTTCTGTCATGATTATGATATTTTTTCAAAATTAAGCTGTAAAATGACATGATAGTTTGTAAACATTGCATAGAATTGAACAGCGACTGCCTCTTTCTGACGTCATAAGCTAAGGGAGATAAGCAACGTAAGTCAAAGTTCATTTTTCCGGATGAGTAATTTTGATTAACTGTGTTGTCGCTATCTTGCATTAGAAAGCTAAATAACATTTTCAGTCTTATTTTATCAGCCCAGATATAGTTATTCCCATATTTATCTCAATATGTTCAGGTATTTGTATCTTATGACCTTCAGGTGGTTAGATCGATCACGCATGAGACGATTTCAAATATATCTTAGGCCTAATAATTTGATTATGTTGCCTCCTTTAATAATAGAGCTGCATTGGCCGTGACAGTGGGTGATTTACTTGACAGTATTTTCAATGTCTATAAAAAGAGTTTCATTGAGAATCCACAAATTAAAATACACACTTTCGAAATTATAGTTTTCTTCAATTTCAAGGGAAGATGTAATGAACGAGTGCACTTAAAGGACCCGGTAACATAAGTGATAAATTTATTTAATTTTTTTTTTATCTCAAATCATTAATTGAAATCTAAACCAAATACTATATAACCCATTTTACATCTGAAATTCGTGAATACACAGGGAGAAATGCAATATAATGTGACAGGATTCAGCTGACATTTGTGACTTTCTTTAGTAAATTGAGAACAGTCATTTATTTTGAAAGATTTGTTTGTCATGCGCCTAACGTTGTACAGACTTGTGTGAATGGCAAAAGACGCGTAATATATTTTTAAAACTTTTGTGAAAGTAGGAAAGAACTATATATGGTTTCTATTAAATTTTGGCCCCCGTTTTTGTTACAATTTCAACACCAATAAACCTCAATGAAATTGAAAATTTTTTGAAAAATTAGAATGTATACCTTTCTTTTATGGTTAAATATATATATTGATTAAAGTAATATCCAGAGAATTAAAGGTTTAAAGTGACTAAGTTTACAAGAAAATGCCAAAAAATGGCATTTTTGGAATCGTTATCGGCGATTTTAGGTATGCGCGACGCCTTGAACAAGAAAGTTATTTACTCATGTAAAAGATATTTTCAAAGAAAGTCTTCATTCAAAAAATTAATCTTGTACTTAAAGTCGCACACACTTAAAAAATTAAAAAACCTTGAGAAAAATAGCACTTTCTGACTCACGTGACGTCACAAGCATGTACGAAGAATGAGAGACGACGACGTTTTTGACATGGGTTGATTTTTTTTTTCGAAGTAGCGTCGTCTATCGATTCCTTCATGTATGTTTTCCAACATAAAGCTCTAAACATATCTTTTTGAAACATATTTGTGATTATTGAATATATTTTTTCGAAATCGATATTGATGTGCAAATGTTGTCACATTTACGGTGTTGTATTGATTATTTGTCTTGTTTGTATTTTAAATTTACTGTGATATTTGTTCTAACGTTGTTCCTTAGTTTCTTTCAGTTTTCCCATTCTGCACCTCTTTTCGAACACCTTTTTTGGTACCTCTCCACAACCTGTATTTATTCACCTGAGTTTAGGCTTCCGCCCTTCTTAAAACCGGCTTATCGAGATGTAACAGCACGAGCTCTTACTGACCAATTTTTACAGTCCAAGTTTTGTAAAGTTAAAGTACTGAGTATTTTATATCGTTAATACAGACACTGACTTCTGAGGTGAGTAACATGTTTATTTACATTTTCTTCTCTGTTTGGTAATTAAATGGTCCTGGGATAACTTTGTTATTTCAACGTATTTTAATTTTAGTTTATTCGTTTGAATGTTCTTTCGTGTGTACAGTTTGTATGTTCTATAAATGTTATAGTGAGTAGTGTTAATTGAAAGTATCGGCCCTAGTATTGTAGCATTTAATTTCATAATGATTCTAAACCGTAAAGTAACTATGTAAGTAAAGTTAGTGTGTGTAAGTGTAAGTTACATGTAGAATAATGTAATTATTGTGTAAAAGCATTTAATACAAGTTCTGTAATGCAGCGCTGTTATGTTGACCCCATTATTATCCCATGTTTGTGTATGGTGGGTTATATGGGTAATAACTTGTATGTAGCTTTGAGTATTTAACTGTGTAACTTAATGTGTTTACAATTTTGTGTTATGTAGGTCCCGTTATACGTCCTCCGTTCCAGGTTACACGTCCTACGTTACGTCCTGTGTTCGGTGTTGTATGGTGTGTGGTGTAACGGTTATGGTTACTGTGGAGCCGGAATATATATTATGTACAGTTGATGTAATCTAGATAAATGTGAAAACGCTTTTTGACTTTTGTTATTAACTGTAATAAGGAAGAACAGGCAACAACTGGTGTCAGAAGTGGGATTGTCGGAAAACAAGTGGGATTTCTTCAACATGTAGGATCAAAGGAAAACAACAAGCACGATAACGTCGACGAGTGGTATCACGACGACATGTGGAATCTCTTCGACTTGTGATGGCTGGGACACGTGGTATGTCTAGGATCTCTGGAGCATTGTGGCATGTCTAGGATCACTGGATCATTTGGGATCAAATCAACAGAATTTCCGATGGTTTGGGCTACAACTCCAAAGAGACAACCCAACGGACAATCAAGATCCTGGAAGTTCAACTGGAAACAGTGCCTGAGGGAACTTTGATCAATTGAGGGAAACCTTTCTATATGCACTGAATTTGATCCAAGACATTGAACAGGATACCTAGTGTTTGCCTTTATTGACAAAATTAACTTTTGTTTTCTTGACTTTTGAATATGTAAAATCGAGTGAATTTCAAACTTTGATTATTTGAATTATTTATTGAATTTTGGTTAACAATCAAGAAACATATTTTGTTGGAATATTATTTGTTTGATTTTCATTCAATTGTTTTCACTGTGTTTTGTAGAATAGTTGGTGACCGAGTTATTCGGGACCTTGAGGTCAGCAGTTGACGCTGATATTACGAAATTTCCAAATTCAGCACTTCAGTTAGTTGTGTGTCTGTCAGTAGTTAGCGTTTCACATCGCGTATCGCGTAAGTAAAAAAAATGCGTGTATAGTCTAGCAACTAAACTAAGGTGTGTAGAGACTAGTATGTGGGGAAATTTCTAATTTTAGTTGTCTTTTATTGTTTGTCTGTATGCTTTTGTGTTTTGTGACTTTTGATCATGGCAGACTCTTTGAAAGAGATTATTGATTACGGAGTATCGTTAGGTTACAAAGAAGATACTCTTAGAGAATTTGTTAGACACTAACAGGATATTCAGAGAGAAGAGTGGCTGGCAGAAAGAGAACGATTGAAAGAGGAGCTAGAGTACCAGCGGATGAAGGAGAAACATGATAAACAGATGCAGCTGCAGCAGCTGACTCATCAACAACAAATGGAAATGCTTCATGAGAAAGAGAAGTTGAAAATAGCAGGGGTTGAAGAGGTAAGTGTTAAGTTCAAAGGTCTACAAATCCCGGCTTTTGAGGATGGGAAGGATGAAATGGACAGCTATTTACGTAGATTTGAACGATATGCAGAATTACAAAAGTGGCCAAAAACATCTTGGGCTATGAGTCTAAGTGCACTCCTTAAAGGTAGGGCTCTAGATATTTATGCATTATTACCAGCAGATGATGCTTTAGATTATGACAAGCTGAAGATAGCACTCCTTAAACGCAATGAGCTAACAGAGGATAGGTTTAAACACAAGTTCAAATCAGCAAAACCAGAAACGGGTGAGACATTCGTACAATTTTCTGTTAGAATGAGTAGTTATTTGCTAAGATGGTTGAAAGTGGCCAAAATAGCAGAAACATTTGAGGCATTATTTGATTTAGTATTGCGTGATCAGTTCTTGAATACTTGTAAAAGAGATTTGACCTTGTTTCTTAAGGAGAGAACACCAGCGAGTATACAGGAGATGACACAATTAGCAGACCAGTATCGAGAGGCAAGGATTACCAACGCTGCGACCCTCAGCTATGTCAAAGGCAATGAATTTCAACACCAAGTTAAGTTTCGTTCTGGAAATCACAAAGACTTTTCAGGTGAGAGGAAAATACAAAATTCAAACAAGTCATTTGTTCCAAAATCGGAAAGACGTTGTTTTAAATGCAATAGAATAGGGCACATTGCATCAGAATGCAGATCAAAACCGAAGATAACAGCTAAAACAACGCAAGAACCGAAGGAAATCCATGATACTTCATCTAGTAAGGAGGAACACACAGCAAAGGTAACATTTGTAAGCACAATGCCAACAGACACTGGAACCAATTCTAAGAGTCTTGATGCATCAACAAGAGTTTCACCATCATGCTACCAACTGCAACACAACATGCCAGTATCAGCAGGTTTTGTTGAAGGTAAGCCAGTTACGGTACTAAGAGATACGGGATGCAGCGGCATAGTGGTTCGAAGAAGTAAGATTGATGAAGCAAATTTGATTCAAGATAAGTTTCAAACATGCATTTTGGCAGATGGTTCATCTATTACAGTACCAGTTGCTTCCATCTTTGTTGACACGCCCTATATTACAGGAACTTTTGAAGCATGGTGTATGGAGAAGCCAGTCTACGATTTAATCATCGGGAATGTAGCTAAGGTACGAGCACCTGGAGATCCTGATCCTGAGTGGTCAGAGGCAAATGCTGTTGAAACCCGTCAACAAGCAAAGGTAAAATTTAAACAGTATCCTCAACTCAATGTTCCAAAAATACTTAACATTCTAACAACAGACTGATGACTCACTGCAGAGAATACGACAATAGGCAAGTTCCGGACAAGTGGTTGACAAACGGACTGCAACAATACGATGGTTCATGCTGAACGGATTTGTATATCGTGAATATCAAACCAAGAATGAATCAGGTAAGTCTAACAAACAGCTTGTAGTTCAAAAAAAAAATCAGGGAAATTGTCATGAGATTGGCACATGAGTCAATTATGTCTGGTCATTTGGCGATATCACGCACATCGTCAAGAATTCTTTCTGAATTCTAGTGGCCTGGACTACAGACTGATGTCAAGATGTTTTGTCGTTCTTGTGACATCTGTCAAAGGACCATACAAAAAGGTAAGGTTTCTAAGTACCCTCTTTAGAAGATGCCACTTATTGATGTTCCTTTCAAGAGAGTTGCCGTAGACATCGTCGGACCTATTCATTGCATTACCGACAAAGGGAATAGGTATATTCTAACTTTGGTCGATTTTGCTACTAGATACCCTGAAGCTGTACCACTGCCATCCATTGAAACGGAGAGAGTTGCCGAGACGCTCATAGACATATTTTTTAGAATTGGAGTTCCCGAGGAAATGTTGAGCGATATGGGTTCTCAATTTACATCATCAATTATGAGAGAGGTAAGACGGCTACTATCGTTAAATCAACTGACTACTACCCCTTACCACCCTATGACAAACGGCTTGGTTGAGAGGTTTAACGGAACCCTCAAACAAATGTTAAAAGGTATGTGCTCCGATCGTCCACGTGATTGGGATAAATATATATTAACCCAGTATTGTTTGCTTACAGGGAAGTACCGCAAGAAAGTTTGGGCTTCTCGCCTTTTGACTTAGTGTATGGAAGACACGTAAGAGGGCCCATGGGCATTTTAAAAGAGCTTTGTACAAAAGAGATAGACGATGATCAGGTAAAGTTTACTTATCAGTATGTGTTGGATTTACGAGAGAGACTTGAGACAACGGCAGAGATAGCCAGAGAAAACTTGGAGAAGGCTTCTCAACGACAGGCGAAGTTCTACAACAGGTCAACTCGAGCAAGGAGTATGAAGGTAGGAGATAAAGTTTTAGTATTGCTGTATACAGATTCAAATAAGTTACTAATGCAATGGAAAGGACCTTTCAGCATCAAGAAGAAGATAAACAAAGATGACTACCAGAATGAAATGAAAAGTAAATTGAAGACGTTTCATGTAAATATGCTTAAAAAGTTCATTGACAGGAATGATGATTCAGGCGAATCAGATCAAGATGATGAAGTGCTAGTCACATCTGCTGTTATTGACTGTGCTGCAAAGGAGGAGGATGACGAGTATGGCGTAGCGAGTAATGGGAATACCAAAGGTGTGGACATCAACCCAGAGTTATCACCTGAAGACAGAAAGAAGGTAACATCACTTTTGTATCAGTTTACTAATTTATTGTCTGATGATCCTGGCTATACCCATTTGATTGAACACATTAAGATAAACTCAAGTCAACCAATCAGAGTTAAATCTTATGCAATTCCATTTTCAATGAGGGGAATAGCTGATAAGGAAGTTGAGAAAATGCTTGAATTGAATGTCATTGAACCATCAGAAAGTCCATTTTCTTCCCCAGTTGTCCTTGTGAAGATAAAAGATGACACTTTTCCTTTCTGTGTAGATTTTAGAGCTATCAATGCATGTTCACAGTTCGATGCAGAACCGATGCCAAATGCAGATGATATCTTTTCAAAGTTCTCCAACGACAAGGTATTTACAAGGATTGACTTATCAAAAGGCTACTGGCAGGTTCCATTAACATCGTCAGCTAAACCCAAAACAGCGTTTCAGACATCTAAAGGCCTCTTCCAATTTCCAGTGATGCCCTTTGGTTTGGTGACAGCACCGGCGACGTTTCCCAGACTGATGAGTAAGTTGTTGTACGGAATGTCAAACATTGATAACTTTATCGATGATATCATTGTTTTTACAGATGACTTAGATCAGCATTTGGAAGTTCTTCACGAACTCTTTACCAGGCTGGGAAACACCAATTTGACAGCAAAACCTCCCAAGTGTGCAATAGTGTGCAATAGGGTACAAGAGTTTCGCAGGTACGATAAGGCTTCCCAGAGAATATTGTAGTGTACTCTGTGCATGAACTTCTCTGAACTACAAATGTATGACGTCATAATTGAAAATGACGTCAAGTCACTGCATACTTGAGCTGTAATGATGGGGAGAATGTCATAAACTTTACACCTTTATTTCAATCTGCATATAAAGTTGCAGAATTCTAGTTTAAAATAAACGTGTTTTTATCACTTTTTTAACTGTAATATATCCGAATAATATAGATAACCTTGCTTTGTTACTCTTGTTTAAGAGTCAGCGTGTTCAAACTCCGTACGAAAATATACGTTTGACATTTACCCTTTTTTATACCCGTGGACAAAGGCACAATTCAAAATATGTGTTTAAAAGAGCCTGGCGCAGGTTGTTTATGAGGATTTATTTAACATCTTTTATGGAATTATGTAAAAGAGTTTCCCCTCTAACTGAATCTTGCTTGGGAAATATGTATGGTTGCTTTGTTTTAAAACAGTTGACGATATTCGGTGGAAAATACCCTCAGATTTGTCGGTAAGTTGAAGTTAATCTGAAATAAATTGTTCCAAAGAAATAGTATAACTTTTCCCAAGCACATTTCGGTTTCACAATGATGCAACGAGTTTATTTATGTGACAAATGTAAATAATAATTGTTTTAAAAACCTGCGCCGAAGCGATTTATGTGAAACATTTCAAAAAAGAAGAAATGACCGTCACGTGATCAACAAGGTCATGTGACATCGTAACAAATATCTTTATATATAGCCTTGGGGATCCTCTGTATGAATTTGGCGCACTGAAGTACATAACTTAAAAATAAAACTAAAAATCAACTTTGCAAAAGAGTGTTACGTTTTAAATGCAGAATAAGCTCCGGGTAGCCTTAACAGTACTGCGTTAGAGTGCTTATGCCATATCGTAGGTGAGAACCAGTTAAAACCAAACCCAGACAAGGTAAGAGCAATTCAAGAAGCACCAGCACCAAGCACAAAACGTCAGTTAAGATCGTTTTTAGGACTCCTTAGTTTCTACAGGAAATTCATTCGAAATTTTTCGTCTATTGCACTACCCCTCACTGATCTGACAAAGAAGGGGTCGCCAAATAAAATTACTTGGAATCAACCACAGGAAAAATCATTTCAAACACTTAAGGCAATGCTTTTGAAATCACCTATTCTTAAACTGCCAGATTTAGCAAAACAGTTCATTCTTCAGACTGACGCATCGGATAGGGGAATTGGAGCTGTACTGATGCAGTTTGACGAGCATAGTGGTTTGAAACTTCCGGTGGCGTATGCAAGTCGAAAATTGTAGAACAGCGAAAGTAAGTATTCTACAATCGAAAAAATGCTTGGCAATTGTTTGGGCAGCCCAAAAGTTCCATCTGTACCTGTATGGACGCGAGTTCCTCATTGAAACAGATCATCAGTCGTTGATGTATTTGAACAAAGCCAGAGTTATCAACGCTAGGATCATGAGGTGGGCACTTAGTCTTCAATCCTCTAGATACCGAGTTATCACCATTAGGGGAAGGGATAATCAAGGAGCAGATTATCTTAGTAGGCAGTGATGACTTACAGTGTTAATTTGTGTAAATACGAACTCTTCTTTTTAATCTTTCGTAAATGTGTGTTCTAAAGTATAAGCATACTTTTCCAGCAGGGAGAGGTATTGTCACATTTACGGTGTTGTATTGATTATTTGTCTTGTTTGTATTTTAAATTTACTGTGAAATTTGTTCTTACGTTGTTCCTTAGTTTCTTTCAGTTTTCCCATTCTGCACCTCTTTTCGAACACCCTTTTTGGTACCTCTCCACAACCTGTATTTATTCACCTGAGTTTAGGCTTCCGCCCTTCTTAAAACCGGCTTATCGAGATGTAACAGCACGAGCTCTTACTGACAATTTTTACTGTCCAAGTTTTGTAAAGTTAAAGTACTGAGTATTTTATATCGTTAATACAGACACTGACTTCTGAGGTGAGTAACATGTTTATTTACATTTTCTTCTCTGTTTGTTAATTAAATGGTCCTGGGATAACTTTGTTATTTCAACGTATTTTAATTTTAGTTTATTCGTTTGAATGTTCGTTCCTTTGTATAGTTTGTATGTTCTATAAATGTTATAGTGAGTAGTGTTAATTGAAAGTATCGGCCCTAGTATTGTAGTATTTAATTTCATAATGATTCTAAACCGTAAAGTAACTATGTAAGTAAAGTTAGTGTGTGTAAGTGTAAGTTACATGTAGAATAATGTAATTATTGTGTAAAAGCATTTAATACAAGTTCTGTAAGGCAGCGCTGTGAGGTTGACCCCATTATTATCCCATGTTTGTGTATGGTGGGTTATATGGGTAATAACTTGTATGTAGCTTTGAGTATTTAACTGTGTAACTTAATGTGTTTACAATTTTGTGTTATGTAGGTCTCGTTATACGTCCTCCGTTCCAGGTTACACGTCCTACGTTACGTCCTGTGTTCGGTGTTGTATGGTTTGTGGTGTAACGGTTATCGTTACTGTGGAGCCGGAATATATATTATGTACAGTTGATGTTATCTAGATAAATGTGAAAACGCTTTTTGACTTTTGTTATTAACTGTAATAAGGAAGAACAGGCAACAATTGGTGTCAGAAGTGGGATTGTCGGAAAACAAGTGGGATTTCTTCAACATGTAGGATCAAAGGAAAACAACAAGCACGATAACGTCGACGAGTGGTATCACGACGACATGTGGAATCTCTTCGACTTGTGATGGCTGGGACACGTGGTATGTCTAGGATCTCTGGAGCATTGTGGCATGTCTAGGATCACTGGATCATTTGGGATCAAATCAACAGAATTTCCGATGGTTTGGGCTACAACTCCAAAGAGACAACCCAACGGACAATCAAGATCCTGGAAGTTCAACTGGAAACAGTGCCTGA